CGGGAGTGGCTGGAGTGACTAGACCGCCTGGAGTGACTAGAGTGACTGGAGCGCCTGGAGTGACTGGAGTGGCTGGAGCGCATGGAGTGTCTGGAGTGACTTGGATGACTCTGGAACGCCTGGAGTTACAGGAGTGACTGGAGCGCCTGGAGTTGCTGGAGTGATTGAAGCGCCTGCCGTGACAGGAGTGACTGCAGTGACTGGATTGGCCTGAGCGCCTGAGGTGATTGGATTGACTGGCGCGCCTGGAGGCGATGAAGTGACTTGAGCGCCTGGAGTTGTACAACGCTAGCCATGTCGCACAGTGCTAGCTGTCGACGACGCGTTTCAGTGGGGCGCAGTAGAGAAGGAAGGCTCGTCTACTCACAGCGAATACAATCAACCATGTCGTCGCTTATGTCCACGGCCCAATGCTGTTTACGGCAAAACCCTCGATGAATATTTTCAGCGCGCGCAGTAGCAGTCGCTTTGGTCCTGTATTTGGAGTTCGCATTCACTCAGATCGCACTGGGCAGTCCGCGCCGTCGCCCATGTTAGCGGGGCAACGCGGGTACGCGCGCGCGTTGTAGGGCCAGTTTTAGCAGACCTCGGTAAGGTCTGCAAGGTATTGGTTGCTCTGCCAGAGCTGGCGAACATATACATATGTATGTCAGCGCTGCTGTGATCATATCATGATGGGGCGGGCGTGGCCATTCGCCCGATGCTTCCACCGCGGGCATCGAAGTGGCTTTGCACTCAGAGCGCCCTGCGAGGCATTTCTGGCCCAAGGGGGCACGCTTGGGGAGGGGCAATTCAATCCGCGACCACGAGACAACTGCGGAGGTTCAACAGGCAACGCCTTCTGGCACGCAGACTCGCAAGCGAGCGCTCGTCGAACGCGTCGTGGCATGCGTTCGTCGTCAGGGATGCGACTGTTGTCTCGGTGGCTGCTTCCTTGAATTTCGCTCTCCCCCCCCACCTACCCCCACTAAACCTCCGCCCCCCGCAGGGCCCCCCGCCCCGCCCGTCCGCCCGTTCTTCGAAGAGGACGCAGGGGCGGGGGGCGCTGGGGGAGGAGGGGAAGGGGGGGGGGGGCGGCATGGGAAGGGGGCCTGCTGGGGGCAGGCAGCAAAGGGCGCGAGGACGCGAGGATGGCGAAGGGGGGGAATGGGCGAGGGGTAGGCGGATGAGAAACCAGGACGAAGAATGGATGCAAGAGTAACTTCCGCCCCCCTTGGCCGCGCCCGAGCATCGCGGGGGGGGCCTGCGAGCGCCTGCGAGGTGCGACCCGCTCGTCGGCCGCAGGGGCCCGGCGAAAGCGCGGTCCTAGCTGTGAGAAGCGTTCGCCGAATGATGTCGGATTTCCGCGGACTGCGCTTGCGCTCCGTTCACTGCGTCTGGCGCGCGCCCTCGGGGCCTCAGCGCGGCGCCGGGGAGGAGGCGCGGGGGGGATGTGGGGCAGGGAATAAAATGAATCGGGCGGGCTGCTGGTTTGAAGCGGGCGGCCGCGAGCGAACGCCCCTCTTTACCGGGGACCTCCGCGGGGTCGAGGAAGGAGCGGGGGCATGCTAATGGGAGGGGCTAGCGGGGGGGAAGAGGGGGCTTCGGGGCGGGGCGAGGAGGCGGGAAGGGGGAGGAGGAGAACTAATCAGGCGGTAGATGAATCAGATGAGGACAAGGGAAAGGGCGGCGAGCGCGAGGAGGGGGAAGAAGATGCGTCGACCAGCCGATCCGAAACTTGATCGCCATGCCAATGGGGACAGTGGGGAGAGGACGGGATTGCACCGTTGCGACCCGCCCCCGCGGATTTTGAAACGTAGTTTTTTTTTGGGGGGGGCGGCTGCCCGCGTCGCGACCGGCGCCTGCCATTCGCATTGTCTGCGCGTTTAAATTGCCCGCGGTCTTGTCGGTGATGTGGCGCGCCCGCAGAGCGCGCCCTGCGTCTGTCGTTTTCCGTTTTTTTCGCGGCGCGCCAACTTAGAATGCACCGCGCTGACGTGGCTCATGTTCAGCAGAGTTGGCTCCCCCGCGCGGGATCTCTCACCCAGTGAGTGCGTATCGCGTCGTCATGTAGAACATCGGCGGCGGTTGCCGTTCGCGCTGTTCGGACAGGGCGCGCCCCTAGCATGACGCGCCCATCTTTCGCGGTTCGCGCGCGCCAGAACGGCGAAGGGGAAGTCGCCAAAACTATGCATTATTCCTGCTTGCAGCCGGTCAATGTCCATGTATGTTTAAACCATTTTTACACATTTCCAACGCGCACTTTCGACAACACAAAGAGTATGGTTTGAATATTTTCCATTTTTCGCTCCAAAGCTGCCTGGGACATGCCCGACGTAGCGCTGAGGACACGTCAGCCTGCGTCGCCGCACATCGGCTTTCGCCGCACATCGGCTTTCGCCACAGCATTCGTCGACAGCTGTCAAAAGCAAAACCGCCGACATGGTTCTGGAAAGGGCCGCCAGGAAGGCCGCCGAACGGGCCGCAGAAATCGTCGGCGAAATCGCCGCCGAAATTGCGGCAGAAATCGCAGCCAACATCGCCGTCGAGAGTACCGCGCACGTTGTCGCCGAACTCGCCGCCGAAATAGTTCGAACTCCGCCGCAGTAGCCGCCGAAATTCAGCAAGCGAAACCGCCGCCGAAATTCGCCCGCCGAAGTTGTCATTGCCCTGTCCCCAGCGAAACCACTGTTTTGTATTAAGCACGATGACGCCGCGGACACAAGCATTGCATCACAGCGAAAGTCAATGTCGGGCTTTTCTCGGCGGCACAAACAGCAATTGCGGCGGAAATTTCGGCGGCAATTTCGGCGGCGATTTTGGCGGCAATTTCGGCGGCGATTTCGGCGGCAATTTCGGCGGCAATTTCGGCGGCAAGTCGACGGCCCTTTCGGAACAATTTCGGCGACGTTTTCGACAATGGCAAGGCGCTCTCGGCACTCGGCGGCCCCGGCGCGCCCTGAGAGGGCCCTCGAGAAGACTGGCCAGAAAGCGTCTGCGAAGTAGCTCAAGCCAAGCGTGATTGGCACGCGATACCATGCGCAACGTGCAGAGTGAATGCCCCGCATCATGCGTCAGCACGCTAGAAGATGTGCCTGGAAACCACCGCGCGACAGGGCGCGCCTGCACACTGAAACCATAAAGAAAACTCAACTTCGTTTGGAAGGATTGCGGCGCGCGCCCCTTGTCGTCTCAAAAAAAAGAGCCACTACGACCCGTATCTCAAGCAGAAATATGGGGGAAGGCTCCCCCCCACACCGGCACGGGCGCCAAAACGGGACGTGAGGGAGGGGGCACACACCAACTCCAGACTGGATGAGCATGGCGGGCTGTCGGCCTTCAAAGGGTTTGAAAAAGGAGCCGCTCTTGTCGCTGCACTCCTCCTCTCCACTGTTCTCCCTTTCATGTCATCCTCCTCTCATCCTCCCTCAACCTGACCAGGCGTTTTTTTTTGTCTTTTTTCTGGTCTGGGAGCTCCTTTTCCTCCTCCTCCTCCTCCTCCTCCAGCTCCTGCTTCTGCTGCATGGTCTGAGAGTCCACGGAACCTGGCCAGGAGTTGATGTTTTTGATTTGTTCTTGTCTGCGAGCTCACGAAACCTGGCCAGGCGTGGGGCACCACAAAAACTGGCCAGGTGTTGGTTGTTCTGTGCTTTCTGGTCTGGGGCCCCACAAAACCTGGCCAGGCGTTGGTTTATCTAGTTCTTCTGGTCTGGGATCCACAGATCCTGGCCAGGAGTTGGTGTTTCTGCTGTTTTTTGTTGTTTTCTGGTCTGACGGAAATAATTCGCAAGCCCCCAACCTCCAGGCTAGGTTTCGTGGGCTCCCAGACGAGAAAAACCATAAAAAAAAACAACGCCTGCCAGGTTTCGTGGAGCCCCAGACCAGAAAAAAACATAACAAACAACGCCTGGCCAGGTTTTGTGGTGCCCCAGACTAAAACAAACATAAAAAAACAACACCTGGCCAGGTTTCGTGAGCTCCCAGACCAGGAAAAAATAGAACAACCAACGCCTGGCCAGTGTTCGTGGACTCCCAGACGATGCAGCAGGAGCACGAGCAGGAGCAGGAGGAGGAGGAGGAGGAGGAGGGGAAGGGGGAGGAGGGGGATAGGGCAAGAGCACAACCAGAATCAGGAACCAAGAACGCATTATCTGTGAGGGCCATGCGGAATGACGATGATGCTGATTTTGATGATGGCGATGACGACGACGACGATGATGATGATGATGACGACGATATAACGCCGAAGACGGTGAGGATGATGATGCTGACGCTGATGATGGTGCTGCTGCTGATGATGCCAATGATGATGACGATTATGATGAGGATGGCGATGATGACGATGATGCCGATGATGATGATGCTGATGATGATGATAATGACGATGAGATGGATGGTGAATCGGGTGATGATGGTGATGCTGCTGATGACTATGCTGATTATGCTGCTGACGATGATGTTGCTGCTGATGCGGATGCTGATTTTGCTGCTGCCGATGATGATGATGAGGAGTAGGAGTAGCAGGAGGAGGAGGAGGAGGAGGAGGAGGAACTCAACGGAGTTCGGGGGGGGGAACGATGCCTTTTCAACCCGTTAAAGGCCGAAAGCTCGCCAGGCTCATCCAGTCTGGCGCCTACAAACCCCTCTTCGTGAGGGGGAGGGGGCCAGGGGAGGGGATAAACACACACACATACATCTACACAGACAACTTGCATATACACAGACACGCGCACGCACACGCGCACAGCTTTTCAACTAGCGGGTGAACCACTGGGGCTCTTCCTGGAAGAAATATCAAAGACGCCGCCAAAAAGCATCCACCACACAACGCGTTGACCATGCAACTTTGTAACTGCGCCATGGCACAGCATCGCAAAGCCGATGGCGGCCCAAAATTGACTATGATTACCGAACCTTGCATGCATTCCGATGCTGCGCTGGCACGGTGGCGGAACGTGCCGCAGGCAGCTGGGGAGAACGAGAAGCTGTTGACCCTCTGACGTCCTACGGGCAATCATCAATCACGCCATGTACGTGTCAGCGATAGGGTTGTTGATCGGGAACTTGTATGCGTCAGATTCAAAATACTTCTGGAGCGTTGGCAAAGCTCTGAAACGATCGTAGAAGGCCTTGCACTTCGGAATGGACTCGAAGATGTCACCACAACCCTGCCTCTCTGCGAGAATTTTGTTCTGATCGAGCATCTCCCAGATGTGAAAATCGCACACGCACGGTGACTTACCGCAGAAGTAATCAGTGCCAGCTTTCTCCAAGACCGCCTCAAACTTCTTGAACGGACCTCCTGTGATGTGTTTCTTCGCCTTCTCGTCATGCTCAGCTTTGTCGCGGCAGACAGCCTTGAACGGATAGACTAGGTCGATGATCTGATTGCGAACATCGTAGATCTCGCAGAGGAGCTGCTCATTCATCGCCTGCGCGTCTCGGCCGAAACCGTTCATCCGAAGGCGCCTGCCCAAGTCCGCCAACGTGCCGCGAGGCACAGAGTGGAGCGTCATGGAGTCCTCTCGATCTCTCAATGCGCAGCAACATAAAGACAGTCGAGCTTGATTGAGGGCACGCGAGAGGACACATGACCCTTTTGAGGCGAACATGGCCCCAAGATGCCGGAGGATACAAGGCCGAGGCTGCGACGGCGGGCATCTGCGATGCACAAGATCCATGGGGCCCCTTGCTTTGGCAAATTCGACGTACTAATCAAATCCCATTGCACCGGGACATACAGCGCCCCTGTTCGTGCATCGGGTCTACTGCGTCTCTGCTGCAGGGTCCCTGGGAACGATGCTGGGGGCATCAACCTCCACTATAGCGTGAGAATGTCACAGCGGTCCGTGCAGGAGCCCTCTTGGGGGCCCCTCGGGCGCCCTTGGAAGCTTTCGGGGCCAGTCCAGGAGGCAAAGATTCAGAACCTGATGTGTTGAATGATTGTCGCATTCTGGCTTGCATCCACGACAGCCCAGAAAGGGGCTCAAGCGGGCGTCCTTTGGCGCCAACCACCCCAAGATATCCCCCGAACCAATCAGCAGACCCCAAAACACAAGGCACCCGAGGGCCCCACAATGGGCCCAAGGAGGCTCCCCCCAAGACGCCCCCCAAGAAGCATCAAGAGGCATCCAAGAGGCCTCTTGCGGGATGGGTCAAAAAACTACTAGATCCGCCGACCCCGCAACCCACTGGAGGGGCATTTGACGCCGAAGCAACATTCCGTTGTCTTGCCCGTCCAGCATGGCTCCAACATGGCCAAGGTGGCTGACGATGACCTCCAAGGTGGTCCGAAGCCACCTCCAAGACGATCAAGATTGCCCGATATGACCTCCAAGACGACCCAAGATGGACACCGAGACGGCCAAGATGGCCCAACGACAGACCAAGATGGCTGCAAGAAGGCTCAAGATGGATCCAGCATGGCCAAGGTGGCTGACGATGGCCTCCAAGGTGGTCCGAAAACACATCGAAGACGACCAATATGGCCCGATATGGCATCAACGACGGTCCAGTGTGAACCCAAGACGGCCAATAATTATTGCCCCCAGACAGCCCAAGATGGCCACAAGAGGGCTCAAGATGGCCCAAGGGAGTCTCCAAAAGGTTCCCACGAGGGGAACATCGTCGAACAAACATACGGTTTCAATTAGGCTCGCCTTCTTGCGCTCTCAGGTTTAAGCACGCCTAGTAAGAGCACAGAGGCCACCAATATCGCCCAATGACCGCCCAAGACGGCCCTGGAGGGGCTCCTGACCACAAAGACGGTCTAAAAGGCCCAAGATGGCCCCAAGTCGGCCCGACAAGGCTCCAAGACGACCGCGGAAGGCCACAAGAGGCCCTGAAGCCCCCGAGATGCCCCGAGAGGCCCCTGGGAGGCCCTCGAGCGGCCTTCTCCTCCTCTCCCTCCCCTCCTTCCTGTCCTCCCAAGCGTTCAAGGCTTTCCACAACGGCTGGGGAAGCCACAGTCCAATATAGCCTTCGGGGGCTGCTAAAGGTGCCCTTTACGCAGGGTGCCCCCAGCTTTTCGCTCCATTTGGGAGCCCCTGGGGCCCCCCTGGGCCTTGGGGTCTCCTTGAAAACCGTGGAAAGGCACCTTTCGGGGAGACGTAAAACCCGGGTACGGGGGACTCGGAAATACCCGACGAGGTCGTCAAAAAAATGACGAGGCCGAGCCTGCATTTTGACGAGGCCTCCCGCTGCAGACATCCCACAAAACTCCTCCTCGCCAAAATCCGAGTCGCGGTCGTCAAAAAACGATGGCGAACCCGAGTCCTGGCAAACCCGGGTCTTACGCTCCCCCGATTGTAGCAGCAACACCCGAAACTTGGCCCAACGTTTGGCTACCTACTATCGCTAATGGAAAAAATCGAATCAAACAAGTCCCTGGACAACCCCCCGGACCACTCGGACAACCCGTGCTGATGAATGACGACGAGACGACCTGAACTGGACAGTCCCTCGGACAACCCAGAGAGGACCTGGACAGTCCCTCCAGTCAAGCCCTTGTTGGAACAGCCTGCCCGGCATTTTTTGGGAAACCAATACTGAACCAATACCGCTACTCCGCGGACTTCTCCCAGGGTGCGTTCTGACAAGAATTTCGAGGCAAATCCAGCGGTGGCGACGAGGGCCCCCCAGGAGGCCGAAAAAGGGATAAACGGATGAAGGGAAGGGGTATCGGTACCCGCTCCTCCCTCGATGTTTCCCACAGTATGTACTAAGCGCTTCCAGCAAGGCACGGGGCGGGCGGCAGCTCGCCGCAGGCGCCCCTCGATCCGCCGCCCCCGTGGCCTGCAGAGGCTTGTGGACGCCCGCGCCCTTTGCTTCTGCACGGCCGGGTGCTGCCAGAAACGCGCTCTCCGTCGGCAACCCCGCGTAGACATAGGTTCGCGCGGCGTCGGCGCGCGCAGAAATTTTTGACACCGCGTCGATCGCTCAACCTTGCATCGATCGCTGCCCCGATCATTCCAACATGAATTCCGTCGGATCCAGTGGCGTTAACGTGTCCCTCGATGCTTCCGCGTCGCATAATTCAACCTTGAGTTCAACACCTTCGCGGGCGTCGCCGGCGCACCATCGCCGCACGAACCTGCCGTAGATGGTATGAGCGAGTTCCTTTTGACTCTTCTCGCGCTCTTTTCCTTTTCGCCTTCGTGCCTCCGTTCGCCTCTGATGCAACACACCGCTGGCTGACCAGCGCCTCAGTGTTGGACCACTTGGCGCCCGCGGACTCTAAAGTTGCTAGGATTACCTTTGGCCTGGCCCAAGGTGCCCCCAGGATTCCCAAGGAGGCCCCCACAGCCTCCGGAGTACCCCTCACGAGGCCCACGGGGGCCCCAAGGGCTCCCAAATTCAACGTTGAGCTGGGGGCACCTTGGGCCAGGAACACTTTCAGCAGCCCCCGGCATGGCCCTTCCCGAAGTAATCCTGGTGGAATCGGGCCCGAGGTGCCATGCACCTGGATAAACATTCCAGCTTGTGACTCACCACCCCCGTGGGGGAGCGCCCCTCCCTGGGAGAAGGTTTCCACTTCGATTCCGTGCCTCCCAGACGCCTTGGAGTCCCTTCCTCAGGGTCGGCAGCGCTGGACGTGAGCCAAACACAATAATCCTCGTGGAATAGGGCCCGATGCGCCATCCAACTGGGAAAGCTGGCTTCCAACCAGAATCTACGTGGCCACGACGGCCCAGGACGCTTCCAAGACAGCCTGGATAGCCCCAGGATGGCCCCGACAGGGTGCAAGACGCTCTGGAGATATCGTGGGTCGTCTTGGGGGCCTTCGAAGTCGACCCTGGAGGCCGAAATCATTGAAAACTGTTGGCTGTTCGAAAATGTTCATAACCTCTCCTTTCCAATCTTCCGAGCATCGAAAGCGGCACCAAAAGCTCCCAAGTCCAGTTCAGGATGGCCCAATGGGGCCGCCTCCAGACGACACAAGAGACTCCATCCTGGACCGTCTTGGATCATCTTGGGCCGTCTTGGACTTTTGGATGCCATCTTGGCCGATATTGGCCGTCTTGGAGGCGAGCGGTGTGCGAATTCTGGTCGGAGTTCTGGGTATTGCCAGCCCAAAGAGCCCCCTAAGACGGTACAGCCCAAAACACCATAGGAAGCCTCGAATAAGGCTCACGAGAGCCCAGGGAGAGAAAGCCCCAGGACGGCCACCGAGGCCACTCCAGGAGCCGGTTCAAAGCACGTTTCGCAACTTCACTTGCATAGACAACTGGGCACCAGTGCCTTGCCCTTCCATGAGGACAGTGGTACGGCGGTGACTCGCCAAAAGCGTCTTTGATAGGTCAGGCATGCATTCGTCTGGCAGATGGTGTCATTGCCGATCTGCAGGTATGGGAGGTTAGCCAACACATTCTTCTCCAAAATCTTAGGCTTATCCTCCCCAAACCACTTGCTGGCCCCATCCTTGCCCTCATACTGGTTGTCGGTGTATTTCACGCCCTTGTACTCGAAGACCATGCGGAAGACCGCGCCCAAGCCACGGATCTTCCAATAACCGAAATTGATCTCCAAAGGTTCCTTATCCGTCTTCTCTGGCTTAGGTGGGGCCACTGTCTTCAACGCCTTCGAACGAAGCTGATCACCGCTCACCCAAATGTCTTCACTCGAATCATAGCCCTTAAAAGTGACCTTTACGGGCGCCTTGCTGCGACTCTTCGATGTCGAGACCTGCACGATCTCAGCAGAATAGTACACACCATCGGCCTCGGCTTGGCAGGACATACCCGCCGTCAAGCCAGAATCCGCCGATCCGCCTGTGGAGGCTTGAAGCTGTGAGCAGCCCGTGCCCTCTGCAAGTCTTCCCCCACAGCACCCCAAAAACCTTCCCAATCACCCCCTCCCAGAGGACCCACGACTGCTGGCACACCCACCTGTGAAGTATGAGGCGTCCGCGCTCCCAAGGACACGATCTCTGAGACTATAGTGGCTCCGTGCTTCCAGGGGCGCATGATCCCTGGCAATTGCGCTGGCTCCGCGCTCCCAGTGCCACCAACCCTTATCAACTACGATGGCTCCACGCTCACTGGGATTCGATCCTTCGTACGTTCGCTGGATGTGTGTGTGTTTGTGTGTGTGTAAGTGTGTGTGTGTGTAAGTGTGTGTGTGTAAAGGTGTGTGTGTGTGTGTGTTTTAGGGCAACCACCCCTCATAACTTGCAGTGGGTCCGCCATCCCAGGGCAACGATCCGCGTTCTCAAGGCCACAATGCGTTGGAAAGTACGCTGGAGTCCGAGGGCCACGACCCCTTGCAGAATATGCCGGGTCCGTGCTCCCCGGCAACGATCTTCTTGAGATACGATGGGTCGACGCTCACAGGGCCACGCACCTGCCGAAAATAGTGTTTCCGCGCACGCAGGGCCACGATTCGGGTGAAGTACGCTGGCTGCCCAGGGCCGCTATCTCATGAACTTTGCAACATCTCCGCACTCCATGGCGAGGATCCCCCGCACGCAGTGCAGGCCCGAAGGGATCAGACAAGGGCGCAACAAAGGAGGGTGGCGGCGCGCAGAGGGGGGTAGGGGAAGGGGGGAGGCCTCTTGGAAAGCCGCCTCTCACAAGAGGCGGGCCTCACATGCACAGACAAGGCCCGCGCCTTCTAAGAAGCAGGGGTGCGTCTAAGGAGCCTTCCCCCCTCGCCCGACCGCCCTCTGCGCGTGGCCGAAGAGGGGACTACCCTTGCGGAGGGCAGAAAAGAGGGGGCTACCCTTGAAGAAGAGAGAAACAGATTGCGTCCCTCGATGCCTGGGGCCCTCGATGCCTGGGGCAGGGTGGCCGGCGGCGGTGGCCGAAGGCCTTTCGATAATCATAGACCTTCTTGACCTCCTTCTTGGCTGCACCCTTCCCCTTCCCCTTGGCCATCCTGCGAATCAGTGGCTGACCGTAGCAAGGTGCCGAGTGGCGGATGTGGATTCAGCTATAGAAAATCTGCCAGCTCGAACCGCTCTGGGATTATGCTCTCGCAATGTCTGCGACCTTCTAATGCCACGAGCTCTCTTGACGTAGCCAGAGTAGGGAGTCAGTCCTTCTAACCCCTTTTTGTTCATTCCTTTGGGAAGGGATTCAATTTCCTCTTGATCCCCCTCCTGGGGTCTCGCGAGCGGTCAGGGCCTCCAAAACAACCGAAGTCTGCTCGATGATGGCCCCAGGTAATTTACCCTACTCAGGTGGCCTCCAAGATGGAGCACGAAGGTCCAAAGTAACTCGATGTTGCCTCCAGCATGCCTCCAAACTGCCAAAGACGGCCTCAATCCCGATACGCCTCCCGAAACACCCGCCGAGAGTACAACATATTTCACAAGCGTGCTAATGTTGTTCATTGATGACTCCATTATCGCCTTTTAGCTTCCAGTGGGCCTCTGAGGCCCCAAGATGGCCCCAAGATCGCGAAAGAGCCCCAAGCGAAGCCCAAAGTGCTGCAAGACGACTCCACAGGCCCCCCAAGAGCGCCCCAATAGAGTCCCAAAAGGACCCAGAGAGAATATGACTCGGAATCAAGAGTCCTCCCATCGGGGACTGCAAACGGCGACGATGGCGGAACGAAACAAGAAACTGAAAAACAAATGCAGAACGAACAACAACAAAAACGCCAGGTGCAGGCGCGTGGATCTAGCAAGCGCCATCTGCAACCACCCCCGGCGATCAACCCCACGTGGGCCGCACACGGCTCCTGGAGGCCAGACATGGCCGCCCCAACCTCCACTGAAGCCCAAGGGGACAAAGAAGGGCAACGACAGAATGATGCACATTTGACGCCCCATTATTGAAGGGGCCCTGGGACACACAAATAAATACACACAAATAAAAAGATTCCCCATATGTTCCTATATTTTCTGGTTTTTGTCTTCCCCCCCACTGCCCATATTTTCCCATATTTTCTGGGGAATCGAGGATTAATTGTGTCTGTGTGTTTCTTCCCCACCCTGAACGCTAAAATGTGCCGCCGTCCGCCGGCGGAGCCGGCCTCGTCTCCTTCCGTCGGTTTCCGTCGCCTTTTCCGCCGCCTTCCGCCGAGGGAGACATGACAACTCCTTCGATCATCGAGAACGCGGCCATGTCTGGAACGCTTCGAATGTTCAGCCAGATGACTGCAGAGGCTGCTGTCATTGCACGATCTATGTACAAGACAACCGCCTGCACAAGGCACCATCAAAAAAAAATCCATCGATGAGGTGTTTTCGCCACGATGGCACCACAGGAACTCCGGTGGTCGTTTGAAAAGCGTTACAAGTCCAGTTGACACAAATGATGGATGGGCGGTTCCCTTGGCCCGGGTACCGTTTCATAACGTGCACACGGCCGTTGCACCATCCGAACGGTGCAAACCTGGACGCATGGCTTTCCACCCTGCACCCCCCTCCTCCTCCGCCGCCTAAAAACAAGAACGCACGTAGGCCAGGAGGTTGTTATGTGATCGCACGGCCCACTGGCGAAGAAGCTGGTGCCAGAGAAAGTATGTCCAATGGAATGACAAGCGCCCATCTGCAAGCAAACCGCTCAACTGCGAATCCGAGTTTGTTGCTATCTACTGGCTCAGTGACGGCCACCTTTTCCTGCATACCGACCGATCATGGAAAGAGCAGTTGCATCACCCAGCGCGGGCAGAAACATATCGACAAAAAGTAGGACGACATTGACGTCCATGTCGGCGCGTTTCCTCCGCGTCCTTTTCCTCGTCCTCCTCCTCAGTGTCGCCCTCCGCGAGCACCTCATGTTCCTCATGTTCCTCGCCGCCCTCCACTAGGCCGGCTTCCCGATCCCCGAAAACCGATAAAGATCTTGACCCTTCGGGCATTCTGCTAATGCCAAGCTGTTTCTATGCGATTGCTGTGGTAATGCCGTGGTATTGCCTCGAAGTTGCCATGCTATTGCATGCGCGTTGGCCCTGCGAGTTACAACTTACGAGTCGCCACCCGTTCGCGGACCCCGTGAATGGCAACTCCGTGGCCATTGCATGGCAGCTGCATAAAACGCCGCATGGCGAATGATGCTCTTACACCTGGCAGCTCTTGCCATACCGCATGGCTACTCTTGCAATTCCGTGTGGCAATGTGTGCGATTCCGCCCAACACCCCGGGCCAGCATGGCAACTCTTGCCGCGCAGCATGGCGAGAGTTGCCACTCCGTCGGGAAGCGCCTGCCGTTCCGCCTGGCAATTTACGCCATGCCGCTCGGCGGCTCGTGCCATTCCGCCCAGGCAGCTCTTGCCATGGAGCGCGGCAACACTTGCAATGCACCATGCCAAGACGTGCCATTCCGCAGGTCTGTCCTTCCATTCCGCCCTCGCGAATCCTACCAATCCGCCGGGCACCCCCTGGTCTCCGCCTGGCAATCCGCGCCGCTCCGGCGGGCAGCGCTTTCGACTGGGCCAAGCAACCATCACTGCGCCGCACGGCAACTGCTACCGCGCAGCATGGCAAACATTGCCATGCTGCCCATCACTTTCGCCATGCCTGCCGGCAGAGCTTTTGCCATTCCGCCTCAACTCATGTCATGCCGCTTGACACCCCCGCGCCGCGCGGCAACTCTTGCCGCGCCACATGGCGAGAGTTGCCACTCCGCCAAAAACGTCTGCCAGCCCGCCCGGCACCTAGCGCCGCGCATGCCGCGCGGTAGTTCGCGCACCTCCACCCCGGCAGCCCTTGCCATGATGCGTGGGAACGGGCGGCGCGCAACGTGCCAAGAATTGCCATTCCGACTGCAACTCCTGCCAACCCGCCTGGCAGCTCTTACCATGCCGCGCGGCCTCTCTGGCCGCGCTTCACGGCAACTCCGCCATTCCGCCCGGCAGCAATTCACATTCCGCGGGGCGGCACATGCAAGCCCACCTGGCAACTTCAGCCATTCCGCCTGGCAACATCTGCCATTCCCCCCAGCAGCCCCCGCAATGACGCGCGCCAACTCTTGACGCGAAGCATGCCATTTTTTATGCCGCCCGGCCGCCGTGGCCTTTTCACCCCGGCAAAACTTGACATTCCGCTCGGAAGCACCTGCCATTATTCCGCGCGACAGCTCCTGCCATCCCGCCTTGCTGCGATCGCCTTTACGCATTGCCACGTCAGCCATTCAGCCTTCCAAAACTACTTCTTCGCCCGGAAGCTATTGCGATTCCGACCGGCAAGAACTGCCAATCCGCACGGCGAGTCCTGCCATGCAGCAGGGAGCGAACGGCCACTCCGCCTGGCGAGTCTTGCCACGCAGCAAGGCCACTCCGCCTGGCAAGTCCAGCCGCTTCGCCAGGCATGTCCTTCCATGCCGCCCGGCAGCTTGTGACTTCCCACATGCTTGCCGCGCA